CAACTGGACCTATGCTGAGAAACAAGAAAACTGTATTAAGTAATAAACCCAGGAACATATTACATTCTTTCTTCCAGAAAACTAATACCCAAACAAGTTGAGAATGTCATGACAAGACAGCTCTTGGGCAAACCTGACCATTTGAAGCTGCAAAGTAAAGGAGTCCAATATGCTCAATGTTAACCTGTATTCCAATAATTATTATTATTTATTGAGCACTTATATCTATAGAACACATTAGATATAGCTACCCACTTCATCTTCATTGAACAATTCATTACCTATTTCATAGGTAAGGAAAGTAAGACAGGGTTAGATCATTTGCCCAACATCACACAGTAAATTGTGGAGCTGGGATTTGCATTAAGTTCATTTGATTTGAGGACACGGGATCCCAATCACTACTGCAGACTGCTTCTAAGCCAGACGTGGTGACCATGACAATACTTAAGAATGTCTAGGGCACAACCCTTGGTGAGTCATGGAGAGTAGCTCAGGACACACAATGCAGGACATAGCATTTCTTGTCAATAGAAAGCTCATAATTCTACATTTTCACATAATGAATGAAAACAAAACAGATGTGCAAAGTATAGCAGGCCTAGTAGAGCAGAAACCCCAGAATCCTTCCTCAAAGCTCAGGGCCTCTTCTCTGAGCAGCAATGCTGGGGCCTCCTGGGCTCAAAGCATAGGAGTAGCACCATAAATGGATGGAAAAGCCATCTTGTCTGGGTCATTGAAACTGCCCTCAAAGGCATTTTTGAATGAATGGGGAATGATGATTAAACCACTACACAGCTAAAATTATTCTGTAATTTACAACCATTGAAAAATCATGATTTGAATTACCTTTAGTGATAAGGACAAAATGATCATGATAGAAAGTTTACTTAAGAAAAGCAGAAAAGCAGACTCACAAAGATGGCCTTCTACAGGTAGAGTGGAGAATTAATTGTGGTACACCCAGACAGTGGAGTATTATTCAACACTAAAAAGAAATGAGCTATGAAGCCATGAAAAGACATAAGGAACCTTAAGAATCTATTACTAAGTGAAAGACGCCAATTTGAAAATGCTACATACTATTTGATTCCAATTATATGTTGTTCTGAAAAACACAAAACTCTAAGACAGTAAAAAAAAAAAAAGCTCATAAACAAAAAAATCAGCAATTGCTGAGGGCTGGGGTGGGGTGAAAGGTAGAGCTCAGATTTTTGGGACAGTGAAAATAAACAATAATGATTGATTTGTGTTATTATACATTTGTCCAGACCCATAGAATGTAGAACATCAAGAGTGAACCCTAAGGTAAACCACAGACTGTAGTTAATTATAATATGTTTCAATTCAGGTTCATCATTTATAACCAATGTCCCAAGGGGTATAGATAATGGAAGAAGCTATGCTTATGTGGATGCAAGGATTTGTGGGAAATCTCTTTCTGTTAAAAAATTATCTTTAAAAAATAAAAAAAAAGCAGGCCACAGTGCCATATAAACCTTCAGGTGCTTCTTTTATAAAATATTGAGAAACCTAAAGAAAGAAACATACCATAATATTAACAATATTATCTCTGAGTGACAGAATTCACTCATTTTATTTCTTTATTTTTGAATTTCTTATTTATACTCATCTCTATGTTCTCCAAGTAAGTTTAGCAAGGAATACACATTACTTTTTTTCACCAGAGGGAAAAAAATGAATAAAAATTATAAATAGAAAAATAAATACTAGGAAGAAAGTAGCCCTAGCTGACTAAGCCCAGTCTCTGCAAACTCTGTTTCACAACTATAGCTGACTGGGAGAGATGTTCTCTGACACCAGCTTTCTTCCTCCCTGGAGAAGCTCCTCACAGAGAAGGTAGAGCTTATTCAAGTCATGAGTTTGTGTCACCTCTGCATCCCATCCAGTGAGGCTGTCCCTGGCTCTCGCCTGAACTCAGGATCTGGCCTCTGAGGTTCATAGGGCCAACACAATATTCCCTTTCCCTCTTTTTCATTTTCCTATCATTTGCACTGTGACATTGGAATATTATCCCAGGACCCAGATTGCTAACTAAGGATAGGATGACATCTAAGGCAGGAAGTATCCCCTTTGGACCAAAGTGGCTGAGCTGGAACCCTATTCACCACCTGTGTGCCCTTGGGAGCTGTGTGCCCTTGGGCATGTGGCTTCTCCTCTGTCAGCTACAGCATCCTCAGTTCTATCACAAGGATTAAATTGTACAACAGTTTTATAACAGATCCTGGCCCCAGGTAGGGACTCAATGTCAATTTTCTCTCCTTACTTTTACATTTACTACATGAGAATTCAGTTTTCTCTCTCCCTCCCCTGACTCCAAGAGCACCCCAAAGCACAGGGGTAGCATCTGAGGGTTGCAAGAGCTCCCCTCCCCCATTCTTCTGGTCTTCTGCTCCTCCTTTGTCAGCAAACAGACTCTCTCTCTTGACAGCCAACAGAGAGGGCAGCTGGGTCGACCCAGTGGCTCCATGGACCACCACACAAGAGGTGGCAGGGTGGGGAGGGAGTCAATAATTTGAGACCTGACCTTGTACTCTTCCAGGTCAGACTAGAAAAATCTGATCACCAGGCACACATACATCACAAACTCACAGCTCTCTTTACCCAGAACACACTATAGGAGCATTATGTCCATTTCTTCATTAAGAAAACTCTTATTCCAATGCTCCCAGCATTATTACAGGACTTAGAGGAAAAGGCGGGAACTCCTTGGGAAGCTGACAAACCATATACATAGGTCAGCCTATCAGGAGAGGAATCCAGCTTCCTTCCTCAGACTCACAGAATCCCTCACTCAAGCTATAAGCCCACCCAGCCCCCTGGGAATCAGGTTCAAGTTACATGGCATTACACGGCCCTAACTATCCTCATCCAAGATACTAAATCCCTTGCTCTGCCACTAGATGACTGGTGACCTTGGACAAGTCATTTAACATTGACTGATCCTGTGTCCTCACCTATAAAACTGAGGTAGAGGTACATCACTCACAGCATTGCTGTAACGAGCATGCAGAATCACTCATGGAAAGCACATTGCTTCCCCCGTTGCCCTCAAAATGGTACCAATGGGAGATGAACAGAGTCTCTAGAGATGTGTGACCTCTCTGGGCTAAAATGTCTCCATCTACAAGATGAGGGTGATAATAACCCTGCTTTACAGGGTTGTGGGAATTGTGAGTTACTCTAGGGGTTGTGCTAAGAAAAGTATGTTCTATGCATAGGAAGAACTAAATCTATGATTCCGTTCTTCCTTCCAGAAAACATGTTTATGGCAGTCCTGGTCATATTTGCAGCAGGTAGCTGGGAGATCATACCTCCCAGACGATCTTAGAGAGTATGTATAACATCCCACTTACTCTCAAGCATAGAGAAAGGTACGTCAGCCAGGTACACAAAGAGCCACCTCCAACACACAACACACACATAAACACACACTCTGCTGATGCATGGGCTGAACAAACAGAATGAATATAACTTACTGAACATTAGATCAAAAGTCACAAAGCACTATTCAAGGCAGAAATGAACCCTCATACTCAAAATTCTTTTTTTTTTTTAAGATTTATTTATTTATTTATACAAGCACTGGGTACAGTCAGAAGCGCAGGAGGGTGAGAGAATTCACCAGAGCCAGAGCGGGGAGCAGAGCAGGCAGAAGGACCGAAGTACACTGCTGAGGGGAGCAGCGGGCGGCAGGAGAGGTCTGCGTGCCATGCGGGACCCTCCTCTGGTGGCCGGGGAGCAGCCGGGGATCGAACCGGCGCTGTAGAGTCTACGGGCAGCTTTGCAACCCAGCGCTTAACCGCTGCGCCACCAGGGAGGCCCTCTTACTCAAAATTCTATCAAGGTGCAGGAGCACTGGAGTTAGTCAGACAAATCTAGGTTCAAGTCTCAGTTCTGCTCTTCCTAAGTCATGTGGCCTTAGCAAGTCACTTAACCTGAGTTTCCTCCTATTAAAATGTTGGGGTGGCAGTGGCCTTGGGAGGAATGAACGCCACCTGTCTCACCAGCATGTCATTGCCTACTAGGAGGACAACCTAACTCTTAGCAGGTTCTGACTCCCTAGTGCTCCCAGCTTTACAGTCCTGGGAAGTTTTCTCTTTTTTTCTGCATCTGGGACAAACCCATGGGCTGCTTTATATCCGCCATCTCCTACCCCAGTATCCCCAAAAAGCTGCCTGAGGAATGTTAAGAGAATAGCAGCTGCCAGACTCCGGCAGGTTGGAGCGCTGCCTGGGGGTCCCAGACCCTCACTCTGTTTGTTCAAACTGCAGCGCATCACTAGGCCTTTACCACTGTTTACTAGGCAGGGGGGAGCAGGACAGCTGAGCCACTCTCTGGCCGTGGCTTCCTTTGAAGAAAGTCACCCCGAGGGTCACTTACTCTAGGAATCGCTTTGACACACACTTCCTGGAGGTGAGCAGGACTCAGGGCACAGTCAGGGCACAAGCACCCCCTCTAAGGAGGGGCACAGAGTGGCAGGTGGGAGATCTGGAGACACGAGCCTATAACCAGAGCACAGGACAGTAGCGGCAGGGGCAGAAGCAGGGTCAGGGTCAAAGCTAGAGATAGGGTTGGGCCAGCCGGGTCCTAGGTGGACAAGGTGGAGTGGCACTGGGGGGTAGGGGATGGGGAGAGTAGCAAGAGGCACAAGTGAGATAGAGCTGAGAAAGCAGTCGAGGTGTGGGGGAGAGCCCTGCCTAGCTGGCTTGCATAATCTAGGGATCCTCTATTACCCTAAAGGGGCCCACAGGATATCTGGGCGTGGGAATCTAGAGTTACAACCCACATTTGCACCCTAACCTGTGCACAATTTCCAACAGCAAGCAAAAGTTAAGTTAGGTCTCTCAATATTTACTTCTTATTTTAAAATTATGACTTTAAAAAGCAACAATGAAATACTCAGCTGAAATTGCCACTCAACAAAGCCCACACCCCTGGAAAGTTAAAGTCGAGCACCCCCATCCCAGACCCTGTACCTTTAAGGAGGAGAAGGGTTCCCTCTGCTTCCCGGCTGGAAAAGCAGGTTATTCTTGGATATAAGGATGACTTACCTAAAACTGAGTTATTCCCCCTTCCTCTGCTGGCCAGCCTCTCTTCACTCTGGGGAGCTTTTACCATTTAAGGTCAATGTTACATCTGGCTCTGGAGCTCCAAGCTGAGAAGCCTCTGGCTGCTGAGCCTCAGCCGCCCGCCTCCTCTGAGAGGGGCTGGGACTTAGAGCCCAGAGCTCCTCCGGGAGCCCCTTCTGGCCTGGCTCAGGGGGCTAACGGCAGGGGAATCTGACTAGGCTGGCCCCAGGGCTCAGGGCAGACTGGGTCTGAGAGGCAGCAATTGACCCTGGGCCCCTCCCATGGGCACCAACACAGCAGATTGCAGTGCCCATGGGCAGCTCATGCTACTGCGCACTATCCTGGCCAAACAGGGACCCAGGGAACTTGGCAGGTCCTCCTCCCAGCCTGGACGCTCCAGTAAGCATGTGAGCCAGGACCAGACCCTGGCCCAGTGCCAGGAGAAACTAGGAACATTTCCTGTCCCAGGGATTTGGGGGCGGGGGCTACTCCCACCTTAAACCCTTGGGATCCCCAGAGAGAATAGCCTGGGAGATTGAGCTAATCCCAGACCTGGCAGCAATCCCAGGGGCCTCAATCCCTACTCTTCTGCTCGACAGGCAGTGGTCTTCGCATCGAGGAGCTTTGGGCCTCTCATCTAAAGTGGGAATAGATTCTAGATTCTAGATTTTCTAGATTTCTAGAATCTAGAAAACCTAAATAAGGGACCAGGAAAAAGAATAACTATAAGAAAGAAAAAAATCAAAATCAACAAACAACTATGAACCAGAGACACACTATGGGGGGTGAGGGGCAGGGAAAGGAGGGATTGAGGTCAAAATAAGGGGGTTGCAATTGTATGGGGAATATAAAAATAAAATTAAAAAAATTTTTTAATTCACCAAAAAATAAATAAATAAATAAAGTGGGAAATAACAGTGAAACACCTAACTCATAGGGTGGTTGGGAGGATTAGATGAGAAACTATCGAAGAGATTAGCACAGTACCAGCATCTCTGACATGCTGACCAACATGAATTAGCTTCCTGTCCCTGCCCAGACATGGATGAAAAGGGCTGCCTCTTTCCTCGAAATCCACATCCTGTCCTAACTGGCCCTTCACCCACCTTGTGTACAATGCCACCTAGAGCCAGGGTCATTGCACTTCAGTAACATGGGCAAGTAACATGGGGGCTCCAGCTCTCTTCTGGCGTTAGAGGCAGCACAGAGAAACCCTAGATAGGGGTGTCAGTCATGTACCCAGTCATGGTACTTTCTCCACTGAACCTGGGCCTCCATCCCAGCCTCTTCTACAGGCATCAAGACCTGAACTGTCTCTCCTCCCTGGTTGTTAGGAGATTGCTGACCACAGTGCAGATAACACTGTCTGCTATATCCGTAAATAATTGCATTGCTATAGATGAGGCTGTCTTGAGTTCTAGTCAGGTTTTTTCTTAGGTGTCTCTACCATCTGCTGCATCTAGGCTCCCACCAGCAAAGTCACATGGTGCTAATACTGTGTTATAGGTATAGGAACTAAAAGGAATTCATGAAACTCTTAGCACTAACACAACTTCATTGTTCATTAGAATCTCCAAATATGACTCTCCTTGGACCCCTGTTTCACAAATTCTGATTCCATGGATCCACAGTGGAAACTAGGAATCATTATTTTAATGCAGATTTTCAGGTGATTCTTTTGCAGATGGTCCAAGGACTCCACTTTGGGGAATGCTACTCCAAAGGTTGATCTCGTGAATCTAGCAGCAGTTACTATAGAAACAACTGGAAACTTAGGTCAACATGGAACCTAAGGCTCTGTGTGTGTATATGTCTGTATGTGTGTGAATGCATGCTTGCACAAACCACATATTAAGAATCTGCTCTATTTGAAGCACTGTATTATATACTCTACGTAAAAGTCTATGTGTGTGTGTATGTATGAATATCTGTCTATCTATCTATCTATCTATCTATCTATCTATCTATCTATCTATACTTAGTGTCCTAGGAAATCAAATTATTATATTTTTCCTTCATAAAAGAAAACTGAAGCTTGAAGAAGTAGAACAATTTTCCTGATATTTCATGGCTGGTAAGTGGTAGAGCTAAGACGTGAATTTAGGTGGTTTCCTCTGTACTACACAACCACACATTCAGCCAGAGTTTCTTAAAATGGAGTTTCTGCATGGCCTGGGAGTGAGGGTTCCTGAGCCAACTGAAAGGTAGCAAAATACCATATAGTTTATGTTTTTTCTTGGATACAGATCCGTAAACTGACAAAGGGTCACCAAATTTGAAATCATTGCACTAACACAAGCATTTTATCAAACACATTGGCAGAGGTGTGAAATGCAATAGCTCTATAGAAGACCACTTAGTATTATCTCAACAGTGAGGCTTATATCCTTTGTTCCAAATTGATTTCTAGGAATTAGTTCTACAAACACACTCTCTTGTGTGGGAGAAATGAGCAAGATTATACATGGTAGCTTTGTCTATAAAAGTAAAAATGTTGGAAACAATGTAATTGTCCACCAATTGGGGACCATAAAAATGATAGGGTACAGCTATAACAAAGGATGAAAAGCCCTTGGTACACTAATATGAAAAACCTCTAAGACCTATGGTTCAGTGGGAAAAGTGTGTATCTATATACACACATTATGTGGAGAAATATTATATATATAAAATGTAAGATAGATACATACAAATACACATGTAGTCATTTATACACACTCATAAGTGTATATGTGTTTGTGTAACTATATCACTAAAATTAGCACAAGAAACACATAACATTAATAGTAGTTGCCTATGCGGAGGAGGTCTAAGTGGCTGGGGTAAAGATTATCATTGCTTACCTTATTTATACATTTAAAGCATGTATTTACAATCAAAAATAATAATGAAACAAAAGCATTGCTGTGAACAGGGATTTGACCAATTTATCTTCTAGCACTGTTTCTCCCAAGTGTCTGAGTCTTGGCATGGGCCTGGCTAAAGGTTATTTTTTAAATTTTTGGAATAATTACAGACACAGAGGAAGTTACAAAAATAGGACAGAGTCTCATGTACCCTTTACCCAGCTTCCCCTAACGGTGACATCAGATAAGACTGTTGTACACTGTCAACACCAGAAGGTTGGCGTTGGTACATTACTATTAGCTCGAGTACAGATCTTTTTTTTTTTAATTAATTAATTAATTATTTATTTATACAAGCACTGAGTACAGTCAGAAGCGCGGGAGGGTGAGAGAATTCACCAGAGCCAGAGCGGAGAGCAGAGCAGGCAGAAGGACTGAAGTACACTGCTGAGGGGAGCAGCAGGTGGCAGGAGAGGTCTGCGCACCATGCGGGACCCTCCTCCGGTGGCCGGGGAGCAGCCGGGGATGGAACCCGCGCTGCAGAGTCTGCGGGCAGCTTCACAACCCAGCGCTCAACCGCTGTGCCACCAGGGAGGCCCTCGAGTACAGATATTATTCTAAATGTTATTTTTAAGATCTAGCCTTCTCACCACTATTTATTCATTTAAAAGTGTTTACTGAGCATATTTAGTATGCCACTCACAGTGTTAGGTGATGGGAAATTGTAAGGACACCTCAAATCCACCCCTGACCTCATGGCCTGGAGACTAGAGGAGGTATCCCCCTTACTCAAATGAGAACAGAGTCACTGGGACCCAGGATCCAGTAAGGCACAAGGAGTGCTGACCACAGCTCTAAAAAAGGAGCTGTGTCCCTTGCTGTCTTGGTCATGGAGCTTCACAGCTTGCCTGAAAGCTGACTTTGAATCCTTAAAAGAGCATGAACAATTACATGAGCTATATTTATCTCGTTCGTGGAGCCACACAGGGATTTGGCCTTTCTCTACCAAAATCTTCAGTTCATCACTCATTCCCATCAGAAACAATCATGTGTCCTGAGCACAAAAGCAGTGGGCCTCCGAAGGCAACCACACGCTGCTTGGGGAGGCTCTCTCAACAGGCCATTTGACTCAAGACCAGGCAAGAAGTTGAAAAGCCCCAGGCCAAAAGCATGTTCTGGGACCAAAGGAAGTCAAGTGAGAAGAAGCAGCTCCTGCCAAGAAAACTGCCAGTGCAGGGACTGACTGCCGTAGTAATCGCACTGGAAGTTTGACCTCCCTGCCCTTTTCATACTTAGTGACTTGGTGCTATGCCCAGTACTTGTGCGATGCCCAGACACTGAATAAGTAAGTAAACATATATGAGGTCAAGCCAGCAGGAAGTGCATTCAGGTGACAACAACAGATGTCACTCCCTGAACAGAGGGCCACCGTGCAGCCGCTGTGCATGTAAGATCTCATTCAGTCCTTGCCAATTCCGTGGAGGTGGGGCTTCTCGCCCCACAGGTGCAGTGAAGGCACTGAGATTTTTTTAAAGCCCCTCCCCAACAGGGAATATTAGTACAGCAATACTGGAAACTCTCTGCCCCAGGTAAACCTCGCCAGTAAACCGGCTCACCTGTGTACTCAGAGCCAACCAAAGGCTCCGCTACTGCCTCATTCTTACCTGGGCAGCAGAGGACAACCAAGTATATAAAGGGAACCTAGATGAAGGAAAGAATAACAAGGCAGAAAATCAAAGCATAGTTCTACCACAGAGTCTTTGTACTTGCCCTTCCCTCTTCTAGAATGTTCTTCCCCCAGATGACTGCATGGCTCACTCATCACTTTCTATTTCCTATTCAAATGTCACCTTCCCTGTGAAACTTTCTCTTCTCACTCTATTTAAAGAGCAAACCCAAGCCCCACCAAGGCAGCCACTTTCTTTTTTTTTCTGTTTTACATTTCATCACAGCACCCATCACATCTGACAAGTTTCATATTTTAATTTATTAATTTATTGTCTCTCTTCCCCATACCTTCCCCCAAATGAGCTCCATGAGGTTAAGGAGTTTCATCTATTTTGTTCCTCACTCTTTACCCAATACCTGGAATAGTGCGTGGACATGGTCGGCCTGTAATCATTATAGACTGAGAGAATTTATAAGTGAACAGAAAACTTCAGTAATTGGGAAGGAAAACATGACAATGGGGGAAAACAGAGATAATCCAGGGAACAGAAGATGTTTTAAATAATTATTTAAAAATAATTCTAACTAGCATCAACAGAAAGATCCAAAAAATCAAACAAAAATAGAATATTGTAAAAAAAAAAAAAAAAGAATTAGAGAACAAGAAAGGAAATTATGATTTAGACCATGGAGGACACACAAAAGATAACAAAAAGCTCTGGTATGGGGCTTTGGGGTAACAGGTTACATATAAAGTAATGAAAACTAGTATGAGTTAGCTCCTGCCTCACATAGTATAAAGTCCAGGGATAAAGTTTACTCAAATACACAAATTACTTAAACTGTTTAGA